CCTCCTCCTCCTCCGCACCCTCCGCCTCCGCCGCCGCCTCCCCCCTGCGGCGGGATTGCCTGTCACGGGGAACCCGCGAAGTTTTACGGATACGATAACTTACAGAGACAGCCGATTTTTACGACCCAGCAAGAGGCCGAGCTGGTACAATATCCTGACTGTAAATCGTCCAGTGGTAATATTGGCGAGGACCCAGACCACTTAAATCAGAGCTCGTCTCCTTCTCAAATGTTTCCCTGGATGAGACCACAAGGTTGGGATGCGCTTGCCTTTTTTTTTTTTTCTTTTTCCTAAGGAGGGGAGAAATCTGCTTTCATCTCACGTTCTAGCTTTAAAACATCCCTGTCCTTTCCCTCGCCCCCTCCTTTTCCTACTCGTGTAGCCACTGTGGCTCCTGCACATAAACTAACACGGACTTTTATCAAAGTATGTAAAGATGATGAGGACGGAGTAATTGTGAAGACCGGGTCTCCGCTTCTCTTGCCTGCCCACCCCATGTCTGTATCAGAATTAAAGACCACTGTGTGTTTCGTCTCTTAAGCCCGTTCCAGAAACTTCCAACAGCATTCAGAGACATCAACCATTAAAAAACAAAAAACAAACACGTTGATTGTCGTCCTCTGTTTTTGTTGTTTCCATCAGCAGCTCCTGGTAGACGGAGAGGAAGGCAGACCTACAGCCGCTTCCAAACCCTAGAGCTGGAAAAGGAATTCCTTTTTAACCCTTATCTGACCAGGAAGAGAAGAATCGAGGTCTCCCATACCCTGGCCCTCACGGAGAGACAGGTAAAAATCTGGTTCCAGAACAGGAGGATGAAATGGAAAAAAGAAAACAACAAGGATAAGTTCCCCGTGTCCCGGCCCGAGGCAAAGGACGGAGAACCCAAAAAGGAAGCCCGAGACCTGGAGGAAGACGGAGCCGAAGGCCGCACCGATTAACTTCTAAACTTCACAGTTTTTACTACAGACTATTGAGACTAACGATCAGCAGATGCTGGTTGGACACCGCCTTTCCCCCTTCCTTTTTGGAAAGGACTTTACCTGTGTTTCAAGCTACCTTAATGCCACTGCTCTTGAGGTTTCTGCGCTTTGAAAGGGATTTGGGCATTTTTTAAAAAATAGTTCGTAGTATCGCATAGAAGCAGTCCTTGAGCTGCCCTATAGAAGGGTAATTTGATACCGACCTTGTAGCTATATTTTTATAATGGTGGTTTTTAATGTCTGAGCTGGTGATTTGCCTCAACAACGTAAACTTCCTAATGATCAGCACTAAATGATTGAGTATAAAATGCTTTATTAATCAAACAAGTGCACTTGAACATTTTAAATCTTTATGGTGAGTGAGTAAATTAAAAGAAGTCTATTAATAATTTTTTTAAAAAATTATGCCTGCAGAATATTTACTTTATATTATTTGATGAAATGTATTATTTATATTTTTCTTTCTGCTTTTGTAACGATGGTTCGGGTGTCTTTTGGTTTACTTCCAGAAGGTTTCTTTGAACATTTTTGTAAATGTCTGTCAGGGAAGAGTCTGGGCCAGATATTGGAAAAGCACATTACCTGAAGAGTGCAATGTATCGTCCAGGCTCTCGGTTTCCTTAAACGTAGGAGAGTGTTGTGCCAGTGAGGAGAGTTTAAGGATAATGTAAGAATCGACGTTTAGCCGCGTTTCTGTAGTCCATACAAATGATGGCAATTGAATAATCTAGAGAAGTAATACTTGAAAACTAACTGCAACCTTTTCATTAACTTTGCACTCTGGCAAGTGGCCTTGCTTTCGCTTCGCACCCTGCTTGTCATCTCCTGGGAGCTCTAGGTCTCGTGCTCTGTGTTTCTGCTTTGTCAAGTAGGTGCCATATTGATTAGAGTTCTCTCTGCACTGCTCGCATGCTCCTTTTAAGCCAGCTTGCTACGTTCATCTCAGATGTCGGTTGGTACGTCCGTCCTCTGCTGTTCTTCAGGAAAGCCACGACCTTACCTATTTGAAACAAGCCCTGAGTGTAAACGCAGAAACTCGAGTGTAAACAACCGCTCCAGAGCATAGCTCCTCAATAAAGAAATGTACCTCCTTAAAGAGCAGAGCTGATATCTTTGAGCGCGGAAAACACCATCTCCTCGCCAGTCACAAACAATGACCAGGGCTCACATGAAGGCAGTGACCTGCTCAAGCTTTCTATTTGATAAGCGGGTGTGGGTTATATACTTCCCAAGCTGTTTAATAATAATAATAATAATAATAATAATAATAATAATAATAATAATAATAACACAATAAATGATGATGGTCTGGGGCTTCCTTCCAGAGTGGGCTGACTGTTCATGCTTTGTCTTGCATTAAATAATCCTGGTATGATACTGTGACAGCTTTGAACTTCAAAATGATTCAAGTCAAATCTTAGGCCTGATGACCCAGAGTCCAGGTTACACCACAGCTTAATTCCATGGAGTCCTAGTTGAAGCTGGCGTTTGGCATTTATTAGTAACAAGATATCCATTTCCCATTTGGGGCTACTCTTGCAGCTGCCTTTTTATCCAGGGGTGGGGGAGGAGGGCGAGAAAAGAGGGAAAGAAGGAGAAATTCAAGTAAGGTCTCATTTCTCACTGAAAATGGAAACACCTTCAAGCAGACGTTGAGAACTTCTGTTTTTTTGTTTTTAAAGCCATGTTTACTTTTAAAGATTTTTTTTTTTAAATTACTGTTAATTTCCAAAGTGGTTTATATTACATGGGCAGGAAAAGAAGATTCTTTAGTTTGGGGCCAGGTTCACTGCCAGGTGTTGGTGGATGGCAGGATTGGTACTGGCTGGGTAAGGGGCAAATCCCCACCTGCCTCTCTCCCCCCCCCCTGGGGGGGGGCTGGGAAGAGGCTGTGGCTGTGACATTTGCTAACCTAAGCCGGGAAGGACAGGTGAAGTCGGGGGTGTCCCAGGCTTGAGCATTTGTACGGAGGAGACAGCTGCAAGGGCCAGTGCTGCGCCTGGGGACGTTTTGCTCTTGTGTACTGCCTGAATCTGTGCTGGCTGGAACAGAGCAAGGATGCCTCAGGCCCAGAGCCTCGCTGGGCAACAGCCTTAGGCATAAGCTACCTGGGAACCAGTGTTGGCTAAACTCCAATTGTTTTGATTTAAGGAACTCTTTAAAATTTGCTATCTCCAGGGCTGGAGAGATGGCTCAGCAGTTATGAGCACTTGCTCTTGCAGAAGACCAGGGTTCGATTCTCAGCATCCAATATGGTGGCTCACAGTCATATATAATCCCAGTTTCAGGAAATCGAACGTGGTGCACATACATACATGCTGGCAAAATATTTATACATATAGACTAAAAGTAAATACATTAAAAACTGCTATCTTCCACTCAAAAATGCTCCACCAAATAGCTCTCTTCAAACTGGAATTGGACAAGATTTAATTAGGAAAGGGACCTACTAAGTGGATGAGTAGAAATGGAACTCGAGGATGGGAAGTAAGGTAAAAATGCCGTCTTTGACATTCTGGCAATCTATACTGCTCTGGAAATGCACCTTTGGGTGACACTGGCCCCCTAACCATGGTAAAATCCCAGCTCATGTACAGACTGTTGCAACAACTCATGTTCTGAGATTATGAATTTGTACTTCTACATACATTCACACATAAAGTGTTGGTAATACATGTAGAAGTGAATGTTTCCTTCTGCAGCTATGAAAGAAGATAGACCTGTCTCCAAATAAAGATCCTGAGGAATCCCTCCCCTCCACCCTCCCATCCCCTTCCCTCTCTTCCTCTCCTCGCTCTCCATGTTCTCTGTGCAGTGGTTAGACCTCCCCACCCCATGATGGTGTCTCGGGTGTCTCCGTGGAGGGACTGTTGGCAGGGAGCACTGCAGGATGCCTTTCTAAGGGGCTCAGATCTGTAAACAGTGAAGGACCGCAGGAAGAAACAGACTTTTTTCCTACATAAATTCACATAAACCTTCAAAGACCCTTCTGCAAACCCAGGTGGAGCTTTTCTGCCCTGAGAGGAGACTTAGAGCAGTCTATAAAGTGATAAGGTAAAAATCAAGACCCCTGTTTAGTCAGTGTTAGCACTGACTAAAAGAAAAGCCATCTGAGTGACTAGATTGTACAAGAGCCAGAAATACAAAAAGAGGGCGTGGCTCCTACTCCTTTTTAGAGGAAAGTCAGTTCAAGGGTACCATTTTGTAAGTCCCACAACACATGGCTTCCTCTGGGCAGCAGACAAACCGTGTAACATGGCTGCCTTGTCTGTGCGGTCCCTTGTCTCATTCTCCAAGCTACAAAGGCAGGTGATAAAGTCTACTTTTATTTGAGTGGAGGGGAGATGATGCAGAGGCAAACTGAGATTCGTTTCTAGAATGGTTTAGAATTGAACAATCTCTTTACCCAGTTCCATGTGTATAGAGCAATGTAAAATGTTCTGAACAGGAAGGAACACCAGCTTGCCCATTTCCTTGTGTAATAACATGTTTAATACAGTGCATAAGATTTCACATCCAGCGTCTGTCCTCCATATTTTTGGTGTTTGCTGAATCCTTGGATGGCTAGAGGTGGAAAGAGAGAGAACACATTTTAATGGACCAGCAAAATCAGGGCCCACTGACCTTTTCAAGAAATAAGATTTTTGCTGACAGATGGTGGCAGAAGCCCTTTAATTAAAATTATCCAAGGTCATAGGAACTTTCTCTTGGGATACAAACAGCCTACACCAAAGGATGCTGTGCGTTCCTTACTTAAATAAGTTTGTACCTAATAGTTGCTTCCTGGGCGTGAAGATGTTTCTGGCAAAGAGCTTATACTTAGAAATGTCTTGCTAGAATGTTCTGAAAAGCCTGAACAGGGTAGTGACCCCTTCCAGGCAGGCATTGACAGCTGGCTGACAGTGCCCATGAGGGGAATGTTGGAGGTCAGCCAAGGACATTGACTTTCAGGTGGAGTTCACCAGAGAGGGTCCCGCTGAGGATGCAAAGGAGATATGATCCCAACCTTTGAGGGGAAATTTTTTTCTAGATTTCGTGAATAGATAAAGCCCTTCTCTTCTCCAGAGAGGAACTAAGCACTTTCAACAGTCAAACACGCGGGAGGGAGGGGAGAGACGGAAGTAAGAGCACCGAGGACGGGAATTCAATTCACAATAGTCTTCATACCTAAAGTGAGGGGTTGGGGTATGTGTGTGGGGGTGTTCATTCCTGTGGCTATAGATTAAAAACTCAGCCGTAGGGGCTCAAAATGGCATTTTGGAGAGGTAGACAAGTGTCTAGAAATATTTAAGGCCTTTGGGATGGGCGATTGCTCTCCCACTGCAGAAAACCCCAGGGGGCCGGAGGGACCCCCAGTTTAGGTCAGAGCCAAGTGTGAGAAGAGCATGTGCTTTCTTGGCCTGTGCAGCCCAATTTCCTAGACAAAAATTGGGATGTGGCTTGCCTGGGATGAGCGGGTAAAAACTGAGAGTGCCTGACATTCCTTCTGGACAAGTGTTTTTGTGAAGGAGAGGAGGAGAGAAGCCAAGTGACCAACGTAGGGGGAGACAGGGGCACTGGGGGAGGCGCTGTGGGGATGACATCCCCAGAGACTGAGCGCCGCCTGCGTGCATTTTCCTCGCACATGGCGGCCAATTGCACCAGAGGTTTTGAGCCAAACAAAAACAAAAATGCCCAGTAATTCCTAGAAAAGGTGTGTGTGTGTGTGTGTGTGTGTGTGTGTGTGTG